CTCGCAGTAATAGCCGACGATAAGCTATTCTATTTTATCTTGCGACATTATTAATTAATGTGTCATTAATTAATATAGCATTAACGTGCTACAGATTTTCGCTCTGTGAAAACTGAATTTAGAAAGCAAAAAACCACTTAGAAGAATTTTGATTATTAATTTTACAGAAATATCGGCTGCTTTGTGAAAATCTTTTTTCGTGAAAACCGAAAAAGAAGGACAAAAAAGTTGGATGATACCGCGTCATCCTCGGCGGAATTAAAATCTATAGATAAAGGACAGGGCGAAAACATCTGGAGCACTCGGGAGTACGAAGTGTACCGTATCCGCTATATAATCTGATTATATAATAGGATTCTACCTGAACGAAGATGCAAAATATGCAGTGTGGAGTTCTTAATGTGCGCATAGAGTGAAGAAAAGCGAGCAATTTTAACAGTATACTGTCGGTTTTTAAGCAAATATCAAAGTTTAGAAATCTGTGATTAGGAAACCTGGTAAAAAAAAAACAAACTGAATTATAAAATTTATGCATTCTCTATGGAAGCGGGGGGGAGGGGGGTGTCCTAACAAAATTCCTGGGTACATATATGTGTACGGATCTCCTATAAACAAAAGGGAAACCTTTTTTTTTTATATTGCGTTCGGCTGCGATTTCAAAGTATAAACAGACGTATTTTTGGCATTTGATATTTACTTTGTACTTTAGCTGATATTTTGTAATAAGAGAAGAGAGACAACATATGTGTACACAACACTAATGTAAGTTATAAATTGTCGCGGGTGGCGTAACATCAGAGATAAAAAAAGTGTACAGCTTGTGTTCGCCACCTACATATACACAATGAGAACATGTAAATATTTTTGTAAGATACATTTAAGTATATATATATATATATACATATATATACATCAATCTCTCTATCCTTCGAATTTTCGTGAAATTCTATTGGAAATCCGAAGATCAAGCTACGATTGCTTTGCAGCTAAATCCATATGTTTATTGTCCGTTGTACAATTCTCCGTTCTAGTTGGTATTATATACATTTATATATATACATATATATATCTGTATAATGACATTCTGACATAAAGAAGCAGGAGCAGCACGCGATCTTGTTATTAAAGCATCTGATAGTATAAAATAACTCGTTAGGATAATCGTTTCAATGTTGTAAATAAAAGCAGAGCGCATAGCGGTTATTATATTATATTATATTATATTATATTAATATTATATTATATTCGCATATATATATTCAATCTTTATATAATAGGCTGAGAATACACGATAATTTTTTTATTTGCAATTCACTGTTACATGTATGTGCCTAGTTATAGCCATGTTACAATTATTACCTATTACATTGTATGATAATTTAATCCATATTACCGATTATAATAAATGTAACAAGTTCTTCGATATCAAACTCTACACACGATATATTATTATGGCGTAACGTGTAAAGAGCTCATATTTAGGCATACGTGAAAAAAATTTAATAAATCGGAATACATTTTACTAGTCGAGTTGACTGATGGCCCTTATCGCCTTATCTTTATTATGCGGTAAAATTCATGGTTTTTTTCCACGATCGAGGCGACTATCGCTCCCACCCTAATACGCCTGAACAAATGGAACCGTGTAATTAAAAGTGAAATTAACATGGTCACCGACACGATATTGACATCGCTTGTTTACCGTCGCAGATAAAACTTATCTGTTTATTATTTTGATTCTTCAACAAGAAACAATTATGTACGTTATGAATTACGATCTGCTATCTCTAATTACATGCTTTTTTTACGTTATCGAAATTCACTAATTGCAACGTCGCATTTTTCTTGTATTTCAAAGAACTTTTACAGTGTTTAACAATTATGGTTCCGAAAACTATCATTTATTTACTCTCTTCGATAAATCGGCATATAAAATTATAAATAGAATACCATATAATTTTTAATGCTATCTCTTGCTCAAAATTATAGGCTGTATAAAGCGTTTTGATGTTTTTACATTTATTATTATAATTTAATAATTTATAACTTGCAGCAGTATACAAATATTATGCATTTTTCTTTTAAAGGACTCTTTGTGAGTATTCAACAATCATTTCAATCGAACTAAAAGTAATGTAATATCTATGTTATAATTTTGCACTTACCAATATAACTGTTATGTAACATCATGCGTTATATTATATTTATATTGTAGAGTTAATGCTACTTTTAGATGGTCGACTAAAATGATTTTGAAGACTGATCTAAGTTGATTCTTGTTAAAGTCTATTTCTATCAATGCAGATGAATTTTAATCTCGGATTAATTTACTTTTTTATCTTTTTCTAACTCATGCCCATTTCTACAAATGTAAATTAAATTTAATCTCGATTTAACTTGCTCTTTATTTTTTTTAATTCTTAGAACTAGAAAAAGAAAAAGAATTATGATGCATTCGGACAATCGCACTGGATAAAAGCACATTAAAGGCTTATCTATAGTACCTAAATGCAGTAGCATATAATCAACTTTGACAATAAAATGTGTATATTCTGCTAAATAATGTGACGATATCATTCTTAGGTACTTAATCATTTAAAATATATTTGTATGCTTTTATATTTAATTTTGCTAATGTCATGTATAGCAACTTTTAGTGTGCAGTAATGTAATGCAAGTGACCAAATTTGTCAATAGTTAATAGTAAAACCAAGATTAAACTGTCATTAGTGGAAACAGGCATTAGAATTAGAAGAAAATAAAAAGTAAGTTATCGTTAAATTCTTTGAAGTAGAATCTCATTTTAAAAAGTGAAAATTAAGCTAGTCTTGAAAAAGAGTGCCTCAAGTTTACTCTTTAGAGAGTCTCTTAAAAATTTTAGAGAGAAGATTAAAGTTATTTGCACAAAGATAATTATCAAGGCTGATATTGTGTTTGTTAAAGTTATTTATATTGCTAAAAATACACATGTTTTTGATATTACAAATACAAGAGGGACAAGTAACGATATTCTCTAACGTCTTATCGAAGATTAGCGAGAATCGTCGATAAGATGTTAGAGAATCCACTAACGGTTATTTCTAGTCAAAACAAACACAAACCGAAGATATTGTGTCAGATATCGTCGCAAATTTTTCATAAATGCGTCTTTGTTCGCATGTTTTTGACCTTTGAAATTTTTCAGAAATTTGCATTTGAAATGGAGAAGAGAGAACGCAAAATTCGTTCTATCTCAGTTTATCGCTACTTCGACGACGGTAACGAGGAGCAGAAAGGATGATATTTTTAATCTTTATTGCAATGCACAACATGATAAAGTTACAAAATTAAGTGACACGAAGAGAAGATAACTTGCAGTACATGCAAGTGATATCAACGAAACTGCTGCTACAAAGCCTACCAGTAGATCACACGGAGAAAAATGGTTGAGTAATTTTTATCTTACGAGACTAGTAAAAATATTCTGGCTATTTTTGCCGAACTTATGATAAACTTTACTTGAAGTTTACCTGAAAGTAAAAATATCAGAGGTGTAAGATAAAAAGTATATTATAATTGTAGTAAATCCATTCAAACGATTATTATTTTACAGTAAAATAAATCTATTCTCAAGGCTGTAAGCACAAACAGCTTTCAAAATTTTATACATTTGTATTTTTTATTAAAGTAAAGTAAATTTTGTCAGTGTATAAGATAAAAAATACTCTTCGATGAAGTAACCCTATAAGCGCATAATATTATTTAATATTAAATAATATTTTAGGCATATTCTCAGAATATTAAATATAACATTTTAATAATATTTTACTAAAATTATATAATATTAAATAATATTCCTGAAATATTAATGGATGGTTATATGTCCACTCCTAATAATATTATATGATTATTAAAAGTAACATTTATTTAATATCGTATAAACTGTAATATCGTATAAACATTAGAAAGTATTATAACAGCATTTACTTTAATTTGTAAAACTGTTACATCTGTTCAGTATAAGTATACGTTTAAAAACTAAAAATGATTTTTGCTCTCAGTTGTAGAACTGGATATGTACTTAAAATCACGTTGAAACATTTTTTTAGCACAAGATGCACCATAGACTGATAAGAACTTTTCGTTACTGGATTGTGAATTCAAATTGCACAAAATTAAAAATAATTAATATTTATTAATATTTTAATGTTTCAGGAATATTAAAATATAATACCTAGGTTTATTATATAAGTGGACATATAACCTCTATAGAATACTCCTGTAATATTAAAAAAATATTTATATTTCGAAATATTATAATAACATTATTTTAATTTTTTTTTTAATAATATTCATGTAACATTCTAGGAACATTTTGCGCTTATAGGGAAATTCTATTGAGACGTTTTTTTAATAGAAAATTTTAAATTAAAATAAAGTCTACATATAAATATGGGCATCTGTCTCTAAATCTCTAAATTCTTTGGAATGGACTCTAACTCTAAAGAGAGTGAAAATTGAGGCAGTCTTGAAAAAGAGTGGCTCAATTTTCAATCTTTAAAGATAAATATTGCATTCTTCAGAGTGAGATTCACTCTCTGAGGCTGTGTTCGAAAACATAACTCGAGTATCACTTTATCCTCGTTGTATCGAATGTTAAACAAGGATAAAACGATAGGGGAGACGCTCGGTTAGTGTTTTTCGAACGCAGTCTGACAATTTTGGAGAATACAATGGACCTGCCAATTCCATAAAATTTACTGAAAAATTCTAGCGCGTATTTTACATTTTTCTCCAGAATCGGATGAAAGCGAAGTGGTACAAGAAGCGAGCGGAGCAAGAGCGATATCAGCGATATCGCCTCGGCGCGCCGCGTCGTCGCCGTCGCGTGGTGTCGGCGTCTCGCCACGCGTCGTGATTTCAAACGCCGGCGCGGCGCGGCGCGACGCTACTCCGACGACTCCGACGTGGCGGACGCGGTGTAGCACCGCGCGCATGGGAGCCTGTTACTAACCGCGCTATTCGATTCGAGCGCGTCGCTGTGACGTCAACGCCGGTAACCGGCGGCAATTGGGCGAGCCGTGGCCGCGGTGTGGTCGCGCGGCATTCCGGCCGCGACGGTACTCCGGACTGACTCCGCTCCGACGCCGCTGTCTGCTCGTGACAGTCGAACGCTGACGGTAGGCGTCTGGACGCGCGCACCTTGTCGGCGTACGGACGGACGATCGGGCATTGAGGAAGCGTACCGCTGATCGCGAGGGTAAGAACCACGAGCGGCGATAAAGGGAGCGAGCGAACGGATCACCTCGGAGCGATGTCGCAGACCGAACTCGACGAAACAGCTGTGGAGAATTTCCGCGAGTACCTGCGGATACCGTCGGTGCAGCCGGACGTCAACTACGGTGAGCGATCGCGGGGGGCATGTGTGATTTGGGATTCCGTGAGATTTTCGAAAAACGGATAAAACGCGGTGGACGAGAGCGAGGGGGAGGAGAGACGATCTGCGACGCGCGTCTAATAAAAGCGTCCAGCGCGGCGAGAGCGGATTAGTTCGCGTCGCGTCCAGCGTCTAGTCGAGATTGTAAATTCGGAGGAAAGCGTGTAGACGGGAGAAAGCGCGAGACTTGTGCGTGTCCTCTGTAAAAAAAAAAAAAGAAGAAAAGTAGGAAAAAACGGGACCCACGCCGCGCGACCGGCCACGTTCGCGAACGAGGTCGCGAAGCACGCCGCTCAACGACGCGTTTCCTCGTTAGGTAAATTGCACGATTCATCGACGACGAGGGGGAGTTCCTCGTGATCGGCGTCGCTCGTCCCTCCCGTGGGAATCGGCTGACGCGCTCCATCGACGACGCCGACGACAGGCGAGGACGTTCGCGAGGTGACGAATTGGGGGGATAGCGTCGGTGACGCTATCCAGCCATTGCGTTGCCCCACCCTACGCGTGCGACGTTATTTCTATTTTTATTCCCCTACGTCCGGTCGCGGCGCCTCGCCGATCTCGCCGAGCTGTTCCGCGATGTCCCCGGAACCGGTCCCGGGCGTCCTCCCGCTGATCGGAGCGCGACGACGACGGCGACGTCATGGCGACTCAATGGGCGCCGCGGCGTGACCCAGATTGGACACGCAGCCCGGCACTTTGCGTTTCCATCGTGATTCCCGAAACGATCCCGCCGGTTCGACGGACAGAGGCTACCCCGAATCGCGAATCGACGACCGGTGAAAATGTGGAAGCTGATTATGTAACCCGGTCGACGTGATTTCACGTTCATACACGGTATTAGCGGCTTGATTTGCGGATATGTCGCGTCCGACACATTTACGACTCGTTATATTTCTTGATAACGCACATGGTTGAGAAATAACAGATCCCCTGATCTCTTGATGGAATAGATAAGAGACTACAATTGATAATAGAGCCAATTACCATCCCTCAGCAAGTGTATCGTCTCTTATCGCGATTATCACACGATTGCTAGTCTGGTAGCCTCCAAAGGAATTTATTTTCGCAATACGGGTCATTATTATTATGTAACACTGTCGTGTCGTCTTACTTTATTATTTAATAACAGGGAAAATTACTTTAGAAAGCATTGAACTTCAATAACAACATTTAAGTTACTCAATGTGTTTTAAATGTTCTCTTATTTATAAACAGACTGAATTAGAACCTAAATTAAGTAGAATACACCGATTAGCTTACAAATTGGCGCAGTAATTGGCAATTACAAAAATTACTGCCAATTGCTGTTAAAACTTACAAATTATTGCCAAATTACTGCCGAAATTAACTTACACATTTTGAACATAGTAAGAAATTATTTAATTTAACTTACAATTTTTACAAAAGCTCTTTAAATCCTGATAACTGAATGAATTAGATAAAAGAATAGAATAAAATTTTATGACCCTTCACACAGTCAAGAAGGGGACTTGATTATAGAGCTTTAATCCATTCACTTATCCATACCTCACCTGCACGCTGCTACATACTCCCTCTTCTTGCTACTTCTTGCTACCCAAAGCATCTAATTTTATTCTATATATCCTTTACATTCTTTCCTTTATAGCTCTTTTTAGTTTCTTATTCTATTTATATCTAACTCTAATACTTTAGAAATTTAATATCTAACCACAGCCTATAATCATCACCTGCTTATTATACACTTTTATTTCCTTTGAACCCTACTCTACCCATTATTACCTCTTTCCGCTGATCCCACCACTCTTATAACTGATTTTTTCATTGCCTTTACCTTTCCTCACCAGATATATCCCTTCTCTTTTCATGAATTAGATAAAAGTTTCCATATAAAACCTAATACAATCTAATTCGCTATGTTTTTCATTTCAGATGAATGCGTGGAATTCTTAACTAGACAAGCACAGTCTCTCGACTTACCAATCAAAATTTATCACGTACATCCTAAAAAACCGATTGTGATTTTAACATGGGTGGGAACGGAACCTACGAAGCAGTCGATTCTCTTGAGCAGTCACATGGACGTTGTACCTGTTTTCGAAGTAAGTATTTTGATTTACGGTAAAGATATTGTGAATGTATATTATTGCAAATATAGAAAAATATCTGCTTGAAAATGGATGAATTAGATAGAAGATTCTGAATTTGATAGAATGAGATTCTGAATTTGATGAATTAGGTAGAGGATTCTAAATTTGATAGAAGATTCTGATTATATCAATCAGAGTTCCAGTTATCTCGACTAGACTTTTGGTGGATTTAGACTTTCGACGAATCGGAAAGTTCTGATTCGTCTATTCCCAACTAGAATTTCAGTGAATCTAATCAGACATTTTTCTCAGGGCTATGTTCAGATTCCCATCTGAGTGCCAGGCATTACTCCATCCTTGTTGTTTACCGAATGTTAAACAAGGATGACATGACATCTGGCTCACACAGCACACTTTATTCGAGGGACATTCTGGCGAACATTTTTAGGATGTAGATATTCTTTGAATGTTCTTTGGAACGTCCCTTGGAAATCTATGCTATATGGGGGAGGGGAGCATCTGGGAATCCGAACACGCCCTAGTATGTATGTAATTGACTAACTTGTTGATTCCCAATAGTAATCGTATAACTGATCTAGGACAAATGGACCTATCCGCCGTTCAGCGCACACATGGACGAGCAAGGCGACATCTACGCTCGCGGCAGCCAGGACATGAAATCCGTGGGAATACAATATTTGGAGGCGATCCGTAGACTGAAACTGAACGGACAACGTTGCCAACGCACTATCCACCTCTCTTTCCTCCCGGACGAGGAGATCGGCAGTGTTCTCGGAATGAAAGCCTTTGTGCACACTGCAGACTTTAAAGCTCTGAACATCGGTTTCACGCTGGACGAAGGTGTAGCTTGCCCACTCGAGAACTTTTACTTGTTTTACGGAGAAAGATCGATTTGGCATGTCGAAATAAAGTGCATGGGCAATCCCGGTCATGGATCCATCATGTTCGACAACACGGCTGGGGAAAAGTTAAGAGTCATAATCGATCGTTTCACAGACTTCAGAGCCTCCGAAAAAGCAAAATTAACCACAGATCCTAGCAAATTAGTAGTTGCTCTTGGCGGAGTGACATCTGTAAATCTTACGAAAATTTGGGTAGGTATCATGCAAATATACCATTTTCGTTAAAAAACTTTTACCATCTAAAAGATGTAATTTATAAAAGCATTTATATTTAAAAATCGTTGAGTTATTGTTATTTGAAATGAAATACAAATTTAAAAATAGTGTCTATACAAAGGCAATGAGCACTATGACAGTGCAACAAATTGTTTTTTAATTTACAATTTAAATTATATTTATCATTCCAAAGGATTTTGATTCTCACAAAACTATCCTTAATGGACATAACTTACTAATACATATTAATAACCGATCTTGTCTTCATTCGGCAGTTGAAACGCTGCTCAATCATTACGATTACTGCTTAATTATTGCGACTCTGATCATATAACTCGAAATGGTAATCCATGGACATGGTAATACTGAGTGCCAACAAGTTTCTTTATGGTATAGAAATATGGGAATTGTATATCTGACATTGTGTAATGACATTGTTATTCCGAAGTTAACAGATCGACAGAAACATTGAGACATTTCCAAATAGAATGTCACAATGTCGAGTCCATGTTTCTATAACGTAAAGAAACTTGTTAACACTTACGATTAGTATTACAATGTTCATGGATTACCATTCCGAGTTATATAATCAGAGTAGAAATCGCAATTGAGCAGCGTTTCAACTGACAAATGAAGATAAGATCAGTTATTAATATTAGTAAAGTAAGTTATGTCCACTGAAGATGATTCTGTGAGAACCGAAACGTTTGGAATAATAGATGTAATTTAAATTGTAAATTAAAAAACCGTTTGTTGCACTGTGTCAGCTTGTTCCTTGCTCTCATATAAACACTCTATTCTAAACTGAATTCAATGAATGCTAATAATACATTTTTAAAAGAAAATTTCAAAAGAAAATCTCAAAGAGAAAGTAAATAAATTAATTAGCTTTAATTTTCAAGTCATTACATGATACTTGTTTATTTTATATGTCTTTTCATTGGGATTTTCATATTCCACAGTAAGTATTCTAATGTTCTAATAAGTCTTGCAATTAATGTTAATCATAATACACAACTTTTTACTTTATTAATTCTTACATTATAATTATGTTAAGATTTTATTTTACCATTCTAGGTTTTCATTAAATTCCTTATCTATCTGATATTTTACGATTTTAGTCTATTAAATGTTTTTATTTACAGGGTGGAGTCCAAACTAACGTTATACCCAACGAGCTAAGCGCTATGTTCGACATTCGTTTAACGCCTTCTGTTGATCACGAGGAATTCGAGGCTACTATCAAACGCTGGTGCGAAGAAGCTGGTCCAGATGTAACTTATTCCTTCGATGAGAAAAATCCCAGAATTGAGAACACCAAATTAGATGAGTCTAATCCATACTGGATCGCTTTCAAAAATACTTGCGATGAAATTGGTATCGATTTGGAAGTCGGTATCTTCGCGGGAGGTACAGACGGCCGTTTTGTGCGAGGGGTGAGCATCAAACTGGTCTTTGTACGAAAATTTAACATTTAAGTACATATAAGAGGAAATATGTATTATTGTTATTTTATTATAATTATTACAAAGTATGCGAAATTTATTTGTAAAACATACGCATTACACTTTGTTTTATACATTTGTTTCAGAAACTTCAGTCCATTTAGACACAAAATTTACAAAATAAAACTTATAAATATTTTAGGGAATTGAATATTTTTATAATTTATATATATATGTTTAGAATAATGAATATATATATTTTAATTTTGACTAAAAGTAACAGTTTATCAGCAGTTTCACATTAGAATATAAGAAATGTGTTACGCGTGATTTTCATTAAAACTGGAAGCATTGTACAAATAAGCATCGCATTTAAATTATAACATCAAATTAATTATAAAAAATATAGATTGTTATACACGCGCTATAATTTTTAATATACAATTATACATTTTATATATAAAATATAACTTTGGCTATACTTACTT